ACAACGTAACACCCACTTTTCACTATTTATGTTAGTCTCATGTAGGTAATAGAGGGTGAGCCTATTGCCATATACCGGCCACATTTCCAGACTCCGTGCTACTACTGAGATTTTTTTAAAAACCTAGTAAATTTTAACAGAGGAATAACTAAATATTTCTTACATCCATACCAAAAACTGTCAAATGTCAATTTTATACTTAAGAATTAACTAACGTCGGTCACCGGTGACCCCCACGGCGTTTAACGTGTTAAGAAGAAAAATACATTGGCAAACTTTAATCTAATTAACAGCACATTAACCTTCAACAGCTTTTTAGTTGCAGTCAAAGTCATAAAACCTATGTTTTCACCAGATTTCTAAAAATATTATACAGTCAAAATTCACAAATTCGATCCAACCCATAGGTAAAACATAGTTTATTTATCCAATATACATATCATTTCACGAGTGGCCCTTCAAAAATTGATAAAAATTGATAATGCCACACTGACTTTTATGAAATATATTGAGTTTTGGCCATAGTATCACTGCATGCTATGATAAGGGAATTATGTACAACTGGGCTACAAACGACCGGTAATCCGAACGGTAGGGAACGGGGCTTTAGGGTTCCGTGTATCATGAAGTAAGTAGGTAGAACTGTGACAATTTTATATTGTTTTTATTTCTCTATTTTTCGATAGTTCAATACATTATTATAGTTCAATACTTAGATTAACGCTCTAACCTTCTCCGTGTGAGAAGAGGCTTTGCTTAGCAGTGGGCATTTATAGGCTGTTGATGAGAGTTCTATACAATGAATTATTAAAAAATAACAACTTCCATTAATTTTATGACCAACTTCATTTTAGTATGGGGCCGTTCAAATATTACGTAAGCACCATGGGGGTATGGGGGTCTCTGTTTTGCTTACATAACATAACATAACATCACGCCTTTTATCCCCGAAGTGGTAGGCAGAGGTGCACATTGTGCCATTGTACAATGTAACACCCACTTTTCACTATTTATGTTATGAGTCCCATGTAATAGGGGGTGAGCCTATTGCCATATACCGGGCACATTTCCAGACTCCGTGCTACTACTGAGGTTTTTACAAACCCAGTAATACTTTGCCCGACCTGGGAATCGAACCCGAGACCTCTTGCCCGGCAGTCGCACTTGCGACCACTCGGCCAATGAAGCAGCTGTTTTGCTTACTTTGGATGATATGGGTGTTGGGGAGTCTAGATGATGATTACGTCATCGATAGTTATTTACTTTTTTACACGAATGGCAACCCTTTATATTGAAATTATAAATTACAATGCGTACGTATGTTTTACAGAAACCTTTGTATGTATTTATTTAAAGTAACCAATCAAATGCCTTATTTGACCTTTTAATTTTATTGATCTCCTACATAATGGCTGCCTATTTTGCGTAGGCTGGTATTAAATGGGATTTATTAATTGCAAAATGCTTGTAAATTGACTTAATCATTGCTTTAACATTTTCATTAGTAAATTATTGTCAAAATTTCCAATAGGTAGTTACTTAGAAGCAAGTGATTGAAATCTAATCCTGGCTTTGTTTGGTATATTTATTATAAAGTCGTCTATACGAAAATTTGGTAGGTATATTTGTCTTGTAATAGGTATTGATAATATTTATGATATAAAGGTTGCTTTTTTCTTAGGTAATATAAGGGGAAATTATTCAGTTTAAACTGTCAAACACCAAGCGGTCACCGGTGACCGCAACCTATTGTTCTATAATTGTGTCTATAATGACGGTACTCGACGAGTTAATATGAAACTACCCGGTTTTGCTTTTTTTATCTATTCTTTTATAGTGTTATTTTTTTTAATTGTATCTCTTCATTTATTTTGTAAAGTTTATTATGTTTGTTTAATCAATTTATTTCATCTAAACTGTTAGTTAATGTCTAATTAGTGGCTTGTTCATCCGCGAGTCACTTAAGGGGCCAGTAGAATACCAGCGCAAGGCCCTGTCTTGCACATGCTGAACTGATCCCATTTCACCGCAGACTTGGGACATGAACATCTATCCATCAGTACCTACTAATATAATGACTTTTTTGTACATATGCCATTTGTTTTTTGGCGTGAACAATGAGGCCCAGTCTTCGAAATACTGAATATCTACGGGGTCAACTACAAAAAGCTTAATAGAGACATATATCAAATAAACAATCAACAGGAATCCATGAACACGCTTAGTCTGATGAGAACGACTGCCTCGTTGGCGAGTGGTCGCAATTGCAACTGCCGGGCAAGGGGTATCGGGTTCGATTCCCGAGTCAGGCAGAGAATTACTGGGATTTTTAAAAATCTCAGTAGTAGCACGGAGTCTGGAATTGTGTCCGGTATATGGCAATAGGCCCCTATTACATGGGACTCAAAACATAAATAGTCGGAATCAGAATTAGAATCAGGATCATTTATTTGTTAAACATAGGTAGTTTACATAATAAGGTCTTACATATAGTGTTACATCTTACGTAATAAGGTGTTACATACAATGTAACACTCACTTTTCACACAGTGGCATTAAGCGCCGTAATGTGCACCCCTTCGAGAATAAAAGGCGTGATGTTATGAGAACGGCTGTACTAGTAAATCTATAGCAGTGAGATAAATAATGCCGTTATGTCCCTAGGGATATATTGATATATACTCTACCATAGTTATAACTTATAAAAAAGCAATTCATTACTATCTCACTAGAAATATATGTAGTTATAAAATGGTCCAAGTTTAGTGATAAACTTATAATAGTGTAAATGCCTAATTTTTATACAGAAACGAATATTTTTGACGATATATTGATTTGAAATGTCGCGTGACGTCACTTCTATGTACTTACATTTTATACCTACGTAGAAATG